ACTGCCATCGAGTCGGATCCGACTCATAGCACACCAAACCCCTCAGGTTTCCGAGACGGTATCACTATGGAAGTAGATTGCCCAACCTTCCTTCCAAGAGTCGCTGGTGGGTTTGAACCACCAGCCTTCTGGTTAGGAGTCAAATGCCTTAGGCACTGTCCCACCAGAACTCATGCACAATCCTGTCCAAACACTGGAAACTGAAAAATGCTACCACAGATTTCCAGAGTGCCCACTAGAGGGCATTGTTGGCCCTGTTGAGAAAGCTGGTTAAAGAAAAACTAGAAAATGAGTGTAGGAAAATTTTAGTTTGTAGGAGAGTTGCGTGAGTTTTGTAACAGTTCAGGTCATCAACTGGAAAAGTAACAGTGATTGAGCTAGAAGACATCAACAGTAAATCAGCATTTCCAGGATTTAGTGCTGGAAGAAATTGTCAGCTAGGTCTGAGACGACACTGACTTGTAAAAGCAGGCACTCACCTCTGTACCTTGTCACAGATAGAAAACTGCAAGACCTGAAAAAACAAGGCAGTGACATCAAGTTCTGGCTCTCAGATTTCACAGGACAGGTTGTCTCTCACAACAAGATTTCATTCTGACGATTTCATCGTAAGTTGGTTCTGACATGAATTAAACACCTCATTTTGTTTGTGTTTTTAGTTTTCATTATTACTGCCTTTCATTATCAGTGTCTTCACAAATCCAATCTTTGTTTTGGTGGTTGGAAACATTACATATAAACTTACAGATGTATTTTAACATTGTGTATAGTACATATCATGGATGATAAGATATTAAGGAAAAAAAATTGGATGTAAGTTCATCATAACTTGAATATGTCTTCTTGTGGGAGTCATGGCCATGGTCCACTTCAGGAGCGCAAAGGAAGAGAGCTTGAACCTGCCTCTCAGAGAAATTTCTGGAGGAGAAGACAGGCAGGATAGGTCTTGTTCAATGTGTGGAAGTTAACAGACTAAAACAGAAGGTGGTATCATCTGGCATAGGGGTGAAAGTAAAAGAGATCGATTGAGCTGGATGCGACAACACCCAACAGGTCATTGTCAGGAATGGTGCAAAACAAGTGTGAGTGAGGCCAGGGTGAAGCTGGGCAAGCCTCATCCATCCCTGCTATGTAGACCTTGAAGAAGGGTTCTCTGTGAGAAACTCATTCTATTCAAAGTACTTATGTTATACTTGATGTAAAATTGTTCACACATTCATATCTCCCCAAGACCGTGGGTCTCAGATGTGTCTGGATATTTCCCTTGCTAGCACTGTGCTTGGGGAGCTCTGGTGGAATAGTGGATAAGCACTTGACTGCTGACGAGAAGGTCAGTGGTTCAAACCCACCAGCTGCTCGCTCCACGAAAGGAAGACAGGGCAATCTACTTCCATAAAGATTTACAGCCTCAGAAACCCAATGGGGGTTGCTATGAGTTGGAAAAGACTCAGTGGCAGTGAGTTTGGCTTTTTGGTAGCACTGTGCCTCGAACTTGGGAGGCCCCCGATAAATGTTCATTCATGAATAAATAAGTGAATGAAAGGGTTAGTGGACATGGTAGGGAGACTCTTGCTTCTCTCCATCCTTCCTTCCCATGGGCCAGAGAGAGGAAAGTGAGGAGACTATTGTGTCCTCAGCCACTTCCATAGCATTTACCTTCACACCTCATGGTGATCCTTCTTCTCACCGTCTGCCTGATTCCGTGGCAGTGTCATAAACAAACAGGACCCATCTATACAGAGAGGAGCAGGTGTCCCTAGTCAGTCAAACAGGACTGATCCTATTTCATTTTTATTTCAAGTGCTTCCCAGGAATTGCTCCTCCCGATTCATTACATAACAAAATGCAAGGGAAACAGCCCAAACCCTGGAAGCAGAAAGCAGTTCATGGTTGCCATGATCTGAGGGGAGTGGGCGTTATTGCTTAAGGGGTATGGAATTTTAGTTTGAGATGATGAAAAAGTTTTAGAGATAAGTAGTGATGATGGCTGTACTACCTAGGGAATGTAACTATTGTCATTGAATTTTGCACTTTAAATGATGAAAATGGTGACTTAGGTTATGTAAATTTGATCTCAGTTTTTTTAAACTAATGAAGACAGAACAAAATGTGCCTGCAACATGCGTGAAAATCGCAAGCCAGGAGGGAAGCCACCGTGGGCTTCTGGGCCCAAAGAATCGGCATATACAATCTCCTCAGGACCTTTTCTTTATCTGTGACCAAACCAAAACCCAAACCTACTGCCCTCAGTTGATTCCAACTCATAGTGACCCTATAGGACAGAGTAGAACTGCCCCAATGGTTTTCTAGGCTATAAATCTTTACAGAAGCAGACTGCGTCACTTTCTCCCATGAAGCAGCTGGAGCATTCAAACCACCGACCTTCTGGTTAGCAGCTGAATGCTTTAACCACAGCGCCACCAGAGCTCCTTTATCTGTGACCAGCACCATGAATAGCAGTCATGTTGATTCCTATTCATGGTGACCCCATGTGTGTCAGAGTAAAACTATGTGCCCTGAGACTTTCACCTGCTGTTTTTGGAAGTAAGTTGCCAGGGCTTTCTTCCAAGGCACCTTTGAGTGGACTAAAGCCTCTAACATTTTGGTTAGCAGCCCAGCACATTAACTGTTTGCACCAGTGAGGGATCCCTTTCTGTAACCAGCTATTTTTCATCTCTTTTCAGGATACACACCGAGGTCTCTTCATCCAGCAGCTTAGACCCACACAGAACCTCCAGCCGAGAATCAAACTCAAGTTGTTTGGCCACTCGAGCTCTGGGAAAACCACCCTTGTGGAGTCCCTCAAGTGCGGGCTGCTGAGGAGCTTCTTCCGGAGACGGCGGCCGAGGCTGTCCTCCACCAACTCCACCAGGTTCCCCCCGTCGCCCTTGGCTTCCAAGCCAGCAGGTAGGAGACAGTGTGTGGCTCCTGTCTCTCCCACAGGTGTTTGCTTTGTCTTCTCCTGTCAAGGTCCAAGAGGAGTGGTTTTGGTTTTCTGGCCATGGCTGGCCCGATCCTGTGGCCTTGGTGGCTTTCAGGAGTGTCTAGTCTAGGTGTTGGCCAGGGATTGCAGTCTGCCTCAGCAATTGTAAAAAAGAGGACCTCACTAAAATCAGGGTCACAGACACAAAACTACCTAATTGTGAATGTTCACATTACAGAATTGAGTTATGTTTTACTCTGGCTTGGCCCTTGAAGATAGAAAGAACTTGGTCTAACAGAAGTTCGAGCATAGCACAGATTCAATATCAGCCTCAGGATCAGCCTCCAGCACCCCTGATGCTGCCTTGTAATGCTGCAGGTACACCCAGTAATGCAAAAACATGGAGTAATACACTAGTGCTCACTGCAGCCCTATTCACAATAGCCAAAAGATAGAAACAAGCCAAGTGTCC